TCTGATTGTTATTTCTGGTTTCAAACTTATCTCGTTTAATCTCATCAATCATGCTGAACAATTTTTCTATTTTGTTATTCATATTTGTAATTGGATCATCCTGTTTAACAACATTGGATTTCTTATCATCAAACTCGTCATTATCTTGAACTATCTGAATTAAAGATCTCGAATGACTTCTCTTGCCATCGTCTGATAAAATTTTATATTTTTCATATAGTTGACATACTTCATCTAATGTTCTTGGTTCTTTGTCCTTTACATAAAACATGATATCTTTATTACCAATGGCATTAATTAAATGTTTTACTGCAAACTTTTCTCTCATGGCATTACTTAACTCTGGATAGGATAGCCTTGACAGTCTGTTAACTTCCTGGGACACATCTCGAATGTTCTGATCTTTTTGTAATCTAAGCTGCGATAAACTATACTCGTGTGTTTCTGAATAGTTCGATGGTCCAAATCGTTTAAACAACAGCTCTTTAATCTCGTTATACGTGACTGTGTCAATATCTGGCAATTCGTGAAATACACCTCTTGCTTTCCCATCTAGTGCATGCAAAAGGGATAGTGCTTTTTCTTGTGATGTCCACTTATTTACTTTTGCGGTTATTTCAAATTGACAAAAATACTCAGTTATATCTTCTGAGCCATTAAATCTACTAACTCTCCACTCTTTAGTTTTACTAAAAATTCTATTATTTACATTTACTTCCTCATCTGGCATCTCACTTTGCCTAGGATGTGTTTTGCGATTTGGCATGGTGCAACTCAAATACAAATCTTAATACTATCAAAATATCAAATGTGTGCAATTACTCGATAATGTAATAAAAATGCAAAAAAAACAAGAAAAATTCTTATATTTTACAACGAGTTACTCAGTAAATCAATCGTAAACGAAATTCGATACTTCAAAAACTGAAGTAATAATTAAAAGTAAAATGGAAACCTCGATAACTTGAAAAATTGTTATTCGAAGCCCCACGTTGGGCGCCAATTGTCGGAAATTTTAAAATAATAAATAATAAATTAATGAGGAGGAGGAGGATTTTTAAAAGGGTGACAAGGCCCCACGTTGGGCGCCAATTGTCGGAAATTTTAAATAATAATAAATTAAAATGATAAGAGGAAGCAATCTCCTCCTCTATCTTTCTCAGGGAATTTTTGTATGGTCCGACAATAATTTTTGTGTATATTTTTATCGTGAGTTCGGCCAGTCCTGTGTGGCACTGGGCTTTTTCGAATTATATGATTTTACTGAGTAACACACGAACGCGTAAAAATATTCGATAACAATTTTATTAATCGACGGAAGTAAATAAAAGGAATTGAACTAATGAACTCTATAAGAATGTAAATGTCAATGAACAAACTGGAATACAGGAATTAGAACTCTTCTTGTCGGGTCTTCAACTTGGAATATGTTTCTTGGCGTTTTAATCGTACAACTTCGACGTGTGTATCCGATGGTGATGTCGATACAACTCCAATAAATAAAAAAAAATGAATCACAAAAATCGGAGCCTATGGAAATTGCAAGCTGCGTGTGAAACTATACCAATGAGTATAGAATCCAGCAAAGAACCCTAGGTCCACAAATAGCACAAGAAACAAAACAACGAGGCGGATTCGTTTTCACAGAACCCAAGGCCTGTTTTCACTGGGCCTGTCTGTCAGTCGGTCGGCTTTCGCACAACCCCGGCCTGTTTTCACTGGGCCGTCGAGTCTGATCGGCTTTCGCACGACCAACACAAGACAACAAGAGTCAGAACAACACTGGTAACAAATTGTGTGTCTTCAGTACGCGTGCGAAACTATGCCAATGGGCATAGAGTCTCGTATTGAATCCACTTTTGAGAACTTAAGGCGTTTCTGAAACTATGCCAATGAGCATAGAATCACGCGTTAAGTCTCTTAGGGACCAGAAGAGGCACTGATTATTCGAAGCTGCCTAACTGGTGAACCCAAGGCTGACTCTTTGAGAACTTAAGACGTTTCTGAAACTATGCCAATGAGCATAGAATCACGCGTTAAGTCTCTTAGGGACCAGAAGAGGCACTGATTATTCGAAGCTGCCTCACTAGTCAACCCAGAGCGGACTCTCTAACTGGTGAACCCAGTTGCTCTCTTAAGTCTTTTCACACCCTTCCTTATCAAAACAAAATTAGATTTTGTTTCGGGTGTTTTAAAACATAAAAATCTACAAGGCATGTCCAATTAATCAGAAAAAGTACTAATTAAATTTTAAAATAATTTATAATAATTTATGACGTCATCTAAATTGCAAAACAAAAAAAAAATACGTTGTCACCTATCGAGTAAATTAACTTGCACCATGCCCCCTATCGAGTGAATAAATTTCGCGTTGAAAATTTTGCAGTATTTTTAGTCAGCATTATTTCATAATTCTGACAATATATATATATATATATATATATAATATTTATAGTTATTAAGAAATATCACCGGATTTTCCGCATTTTTGAGTTTGTAACTAAGTTTTTCAATTTTTCGAACAATTATTTTATCAATATTATTCAATTGATTCAAATTAATAATAAAATTTCTTATTATTTTAGACTGCATTTTTATATATACATTTACATAAAAGCTTTTTTCGGTAACCTTTTTATTGATGTTTTATCATTATCAGTGTAATAGAGTTTGTGATATTGTTATATGTAGTTTTTTGGTATTTATAGTATTTTTAACAAATGAGATCTAATTTCCATTGTTTTTCTATGTGAGTAATTTCTTTGTTGGTAGGATCGTTACAGATTGGATGTTTATTACAGGATTTCTATTTTCTATTAATAAAGCCTTTGCCATTTTCAAAATGCTCATATTATGGTTGTAAAATAACACTTCGTTATTTGAGTTTAGTATTTCTCTTGTTATTTTTATTTGGTGTAAATCCCTTAGATGATTTTTATTGCACCATTTTGTGTATGCATTGTTAACCTTCTGACTAAAGTCATAATAGTAAATCCGATATATTCTGTGTTTCGGTGCCTACATCACCGATTTTACAATCAAAAAAATATACTAGATGACTGCTCTTCATTATCGATTATGGTTTAGTATTGCAATTATTTTTAAGAAAGAATAATGAATGAAGTTTTGTTGTTATCATTTTCATTGGTCTTATAAGCTGCTGACAATGTATTTTTGTAAAAAAGTATTATGTCATTTGTTGTTTTATTATTGTTACTTTTGTTTGTTACATCACGATCTTTTTTGCTAATAATTTTTTCAATAAATGTTTCTTTGTAACCATTGTTAATTAGCATGTTGGTTATCCGTTTGAGTTCAGTTACTCTATCCTCTGTTGTAACTTGTTCTATTATCAAGTTATCGAGATTTCTTAGGTTCAAAATGTCTTATAGATGCTTCAAACACAAACTTGTATAAAAGTTTATTCAAATTGCAACGGTAAACAGAATGCGCTAGATGTTGCACGATCGCCAATAATTCACAGCTCATCTTGATAATCTAATCTAACAACTTAACTCCTCATTAACCTCGCTTATGTACAGGAGATCTACAATCGAAAGACTCAACAGTCTTACAACGATGACAAATACAGAGAAAAATTACCCACATAACAAATAATCAAGATAATGTTAATTGAAATTAATTGTAAATTAATTAAAATTTAAAAATTGTGAAATAATTGAAATAAAATATTTAAAAAATTCAATTACTAGTGATTAAATAAAATTTTTTTAATCAAAGAATCAAAATTCCAAAATTATTTGGGAACATTTTTACAAAGTATATTATTGTTACATAGTACATATATAACAATTTTTGTGTATATCTTATTCTGTGTACGAGAGCACCACTCTATTTATAAATTTATATATCTATGTTTTATAACCATATAAATATTTTCGTTTAACATCGCGTTAGTTGTAAAGTAAATAAAACCGGGACTTCATCTTGTCTCGTCCACAGTTTGACATTTGAGCCATTTTTTTCACAACTAATAATGTTTATGTTTACGTTTTGCTTGATTTGGATTCAAACTTTAATTATTTAATTTACCGTATTTTATTTTAACATAAACATCGACGAAGAGTGGAGAACATGATCGGCCAGACAGATTTCCGAAGAGATATTCTGCGCAAGTGTGTAGCCCAAATTTGCCTGCAGATGGGGTGGAATGGGATTATGCCGTCTGCTCTGAACTCGCTGGTCCACATCCTGGAGATGTATATCATGCAGTTGGTTTGCTCAGCCAGAATGTATGCTGATCAGTGTTGGTTTTTATTTCATTAATTTTGAAATCTATCATCTATTTATTTTTATTAATTATTTTATATATATTTCATTGGATAAATCTTCATAAGCGGTAAATATTGCTGCTGAACTGTTGAAAAATTGTCTACTCTAGAGTAAAAAAATTATTAATGTTAACATAACATAAAAGTTTTTACAAAACGATATGTATTGCCAGAAAAAATTCTCAAAAATCAACATTAAAATTTTGTTCTACTGAGCAAAAATCTGGTAAAACGTGAGATAGGTACTCCTATTTATTATTATTTCCTATGGTATCTTCCATGTTTACAAACTATCATAATGTACTGCACATTTTGAATTATCTAGCGCTTGATTATTTATTTATATCAAATTGAAAATTTAGGTAAATAATTTAATACAAGTTAATTTTTAGATAAATTTTTTAGATCATTACTTGTCAAACAGGGTTAGGGTTAGGGCCTCCATTTTTAACAAAATTTTCAATCATTTCACAAATGATTGAAAATTTTAACCACTCTATATTTGTGAAATAATTGAAAATTTTGTTTGAAAGGGAGGCCCTAACCCTGTTAACCACTCCATAAGCCATTGATTGTTATCAAAACAGAAATTTACTCTTTTAACTTTTTTTTATTTAATGTTCACTATTTCAACTATTTGACAAGTAATGATCTAAAAAACTTACCTAATTAAATTATTTTCAATTTGATATAAATAAATAATCAAGCGCTTGATAATTCAATATGGGTAGAGTTAATTGATTAAATGTACATTATGATTGTTTGTAAACATGGACGATACCATAGGAGTACCTATCTACCATTTTACCCTAAAATCTCACAATTTTCAGAACAAAAATATTTTAAATTATTTGAAAATTAAAAACATTGTTGGAGTCACGTGAAATATCTAACTCTGGGTTCTCACAAAAACTCCAACCGACTTCTAGTTGGATAATATATTATAAGACAAAGTTGAAATTTATGCAACAAAAAAACAGCTTCTTTATACATTCTTATTTAGCCAAAAAATCTTCAATGGTTGCTTGTTTCACATTACAAATAGTTTTAATTATCTATTATTATTTAATTGCACTCATGGATTGAATATGTTAGTTTCCTGGCATATTCTATTGCTTATCTTTGTAATATTTTTTGTAAAGACATTTTTTCAGCATGTCATAAAAAGGTTACATGTAACTATTACCTAAAAACAAACCAACTATTGCCACATCAAATAATCATAATTGAATTTGCTTTATGAAAACGTTTTAATAAAAAATATATTTTTAGATAAAATAATTTTTTTACAGTTGAGCACACTGAACTGACATTGAACGACTTGTGCCTATCATTTTTGAAATACAATATCAAATTTGATGAACTGCGAGAGTACATGGCATGCACTGAATCATCTTCAGCAGCTCATGATGTTCCCCACTTTCCAGCACCTAGGAGCTGCCTCCATGCCAAACTTATCTCTCCATCAAAACTT